CTCCTGTGACTCACTATTGCCTTTCTTTTTTAAAAAGTAATTATTTATTTAATTTTATTTATTCATTCATTTATTTTAGTTTGACCAGAAAGAGACAAGAGAGAGAGAGAAAGTGAAAAAGCAAGCCTCCAGGTCCACAACTCAAACTGTGGTCAGCCATGTGGGAGTGTCCAGCACCTTAACCACCGCGCCACCTGCTGGCTCCCCCAGTTGTCCTTCAATCTCGCATTTGAATCTATCCCTAAAATTGTTCAGGCCCTTGAGTCTCCCCTTTCCCTGCTTCTCTTCACACCCTGCACCAGCCTCCACCCCTCTTGTGCTCTCCACCACCTTCCTTTATCCTGCACGCCCATCTCCACCTTTCCCCAGGCCACTAATCTGTTGCCCACAGGCGCTGCAGTATGAAAAGACCTCCCCCTCCCCTGACCTCCAGACCCTTTTTCTCAGGAGTCTTTTTTTTTTTTTTTTCTTTTTCTTTCTTTTTTTTTTTTTTTGTGGGGGTGGAGGGGAAGAGATTTTCACTTGTGCACACTGGAGAGGCAGAGAGAAACAGAGAGACAGAAAGTGAGAAATCACCTTCCAGGGGATGGCCACGCCACAATCCCTTCTCCTTCAGTCTCCTCTCAGGATTTTGGGCACGCACGGGCCAGCGTGAGATTTAAGCCAGCAGGCCTGGAACTTGAACCATGGTCGACTACGTGGGAGTCCATCTCTGTTTCCAATGCTGCTCTTAGGCTGACAGAGCCTCTGCCCAGGGGCCACCTGGAGTACCTTCCTCTGAACTTTGCTCATTTATCTGTATTTGTCATAGACAGCCTGTGCACGCTCACTAGCAACGGAGAGACCATCGGCATCAGGGTCTCATCATTTTGCAATCCCCTTCCCCAGCCCTCCAGCTCATCAGGGTCCTGGGCAGGTGTACACACACCGGGCACGTGTTCAGGCCGACCTGGGTCCCCAAACCCCAGGTCAGGCACGTGGCTCCCAGCACTGCAATTCCAGTTCGTGACCAACCCTTCCTCCATCAAGTTTTCCAACTCACTTCAGTACCTGACACTGGACGGTGTTACCTGAGCAGACCACCCGGAGCCTAGAACAGGACCCACACACTCTGGTCCCTCCTTCCCCCAGTGAGGCTTCCTTGTCCTTTACATTGCGTGGGGTCAACCAGATGCCCCGAGCATCTCCAGGACTCACATTCATCAGATCATTCGGGGGGCTGAACACTCTCCCAGGCCTGTAGGGTGCTTCTTTTGAGGGACAACATGAGACTGAACTTCCAGAAGGCTACTACCACACTGACTGTAGGCGACTCATGTATCGTTTATGTGAACCGCAAGTCTGCCGAAACTACTTACCCAGGGCCTGCTTCACCCGAGGGGTGGCTCGTCCTGTCAATTTCTCTCTCGCTCGCTTTCTAGGTTTTTGTCATAGGGTGCATGTACTCACCAGAGAGAGAGAGAGCAAGAGAGAGAGACAGAGAGGGAAAGTGAGAAGTCACCCCTCAGGGGAATGGCCGCACTGCAATCCCTTCTCCCTCATTCACCTCTTAGGATTTTGGGCATGCATGCACATGGGTCCGGTGTGATTTTCAAACTGCCAGGTCTGGGACTTGAACTCAGTCGACCACGTGGGATTCTAGCACCTTAACCAACACACCACCTGCTTGTCTCCACCCTGCCAACTTCTATCTTGCATTGCACGTGGCGTTGCGGGAGAGGTCCCATCTTAACCCTATCTTGTCCCCTCCCCACCACGGTGTCTACCTTAGTGCCTTGCACACGGTAGTTGCTCAGTGTTTTTCAGAATGAATGCTGGAAGGAATGAGTATCATCTCAGGTGTGCATATGTTTTCGCTGCACGGTTCTAACTACGCTTTCCCTGTACACATTTCTAGATCTCTGTCATTCTTGAGTGGTTAAAAGGGATTCTCATATCCCCAAGACCTCCGGTCACTGACCTGATTATTGATGTGCTGAAAGCTTATCAAAAAGGAACAGACACACTTCCAGATTCTCCTGACGGCAGACTGCAACCGAACGCCAGCCGCAAGGCCTGCGGCAACAGCCACGCGTGGCAACGGGGGCTGAGTGTTTTCAAGGCCGGCCGCGCGGTAGTGCAGCTTGGACGATGCTTGGGCTGCCGCAAGCTCTGCTGGTAGGACATATGCTTGTGGTGCTTTGCCTTTGATTTTCGGCTCCAAGGTTGAAGATACTCTCCCGAGGGGCGAAGGAAAAGGAAGAAGAACTGGGTGGAAGAAAACGAACTTCACCCATCACTGAAATACTTGGTACCTGAAGCACAGCCACCTTGAGAGAAGAACATGGTGGCGGCTCTTCACAGTCACCTGATTGAGGGGCTCGCGCTCAGTCCTGACTCAGAGGGAAACGTACCACCACTGAGCAGCCCCCGCACAGCCCTCGGGCACTCACAGCCAAGCCTGGGCTTGGCCCCCGCAGACATAAGAGAAAAGGTAGTCACCAGAGGCACCGAGGGGGTGGAGGCCTGCTGTTGCCAGGCCCACCCCTGGGGATCACAATGGCCACATGAGGTCATGGAATGTTGAAGATGAAATGAGAGTGGCCCTGAAGTCACAAAGTCACAGGCCACAAGGTCACACAGGCATCCTTTCAGCTGGGCTTTCAGGAATAGAGCCATACCGCTGCCCCGATGAGCGAGGGAGTAGCTACTCCTCCCAGACAGAGTTGGGGTCAAATCCATGTGCACCCAATTCCCACCAAAGGCTGCTGTCCCAGCTCGCTGGGATGGAAGGATAACACCTCCAGCCTCCCCTGGGACCTGCCTCTGTGAGGGCAGTTCACAAAGTTTGACACAGAGGTGCACGGAAAGGTGTACGTCCTAGGGAAGCAGCCCAAAGGTGGCAAGAAGCTGGCAGCAGCCCTCGAGAGGGTCCTGGCACCATGGACAATGACGAGCCTCTTGAGCCCGAGACAAAAGGTGAAAAGGCATTCCATCTCTCAGCACTCTGGTCTTCGGGCTACCTCAGTGTGATACCCAGCGATCACAGGGTCCCTCAAGTTCCCTCCTCTCCTTGCCCGGGTCGCTCTGAAATTGGGATGGCTGTCACATTGACTTGGCTCCAGTGAGGGAGGTGGATGCAGTGCTGTGCTGTCGCTGGCTTGTACTGGCTCTAGCCAACTCTACTTTTCATTGTGTGCATTGGTTGATGTCATGTTGGTAGTTTGAAATCAGCCATGTTAGGAATATTTACACCATGTGAATCGGCTAACACTGCGAATCGGGATGTTTAGTTTAGTTTTGTTTTCCTGGCAAGCCAGTTGTTAAATATTTACCAATATTTCACTAGTTAAATAAACTTTTTAAATTATTCGACTGATGGGGAAATTAAGACTCAGAAATTCATCTCTTTTCTTTTTCTTTAGTTTTGGTTACAGGGCATGTGTGCTCACCAGAGAGACAGAGATGGGGGTGGTGAGAGAAACTGAGAAATCACCCCCATCCCGATGGTATGGTCGGGATGCAATCCTTCTCCTCCATTGTCCTCTTGGGATTTGGGGCATGCACACGCACACGTGCCCGATATGATTTTCAAGCCACCAGGTCCAGAGTGAGAGCGGCAGAGTCAGTTATGTGGGATCCGGCTGCCTTAAACTTCACGACACCTGCTGTCTCCATCATCACTTTGCTAGGGCACACAGCAGTCCAGCAGCTCCATCACTGCCTGTCTCCTGACCACCAACTCCCCCGGTTGACTGGAAAATATGCCAGCGTGTGCATGTGCCCCAAATCCGGACGCGCTGGAAGGCCAGAGAAAGGGGATCACAGAGGAGGGAACTCTGTCAAGGGTGCTTTTCTTTCTCTCTCCAGGGTGTGTGCATGCATTATCATTAATAAATAAACTAAAAAAAAAAAAAAGGAATGAAAAGAAAAAGTCAGGAGGCAACCCTGGGTGGGGAGGGAGGACTTGTAGAATGGAGTCACCCTGGCAGGGGTAGCACCTTGAGCCATCAGGAAACAAAAGCTGCTGCCAGGACCCAGGATGTGACAGAAGGAAGCAGAGGCCGAGGGAAATGTGGCCGGTCTGGCCACCCACAGGCTAGCAGGTGTTAATCCACATAATCAAGAGGCTGAATTTTCCTTCCAGATGAGAATGAGACCACGCCAGCGCCCCAGAGCAGTGACGAAATGCTCTACTGTGAGGCCGAACCCCCAACGCCTGTTGAAAAGGACAAACCAATCTGGGAGAGTTCAGAAACAGACCTCGAGATTGAAGGTACGAGGAGGGCGGGGGCCTGGCTGCGCAGGTTTGGGGAGCCGTCATCTCCCTCCTTTCCAGAGCGGCTCTGCACAGCAGGACGTCCTGCAGAGGGACATGCAGCTGAGTCAGCCGCTCTACACCGCGTCCTCCTGGCGGACCTGGCTGACGGGGCAGCAGCCACGGTGGCCCCTGCCTGTGGCCCGCCCTGAGGGGTGCCTCGCATCAGCCTGCTGAAAGCTGGACAGGGGTTTCTGGCCTTCGAAATCAATCCACACTGCCATGGCGGTGGTCTCTGCATAGCTCTATAAGGGAGGCATTATTTCCGGTTTCTTCCGGAAGAGGAAACTGAGGTGTAAAGAGGTCATGAGTTGCACAAGGTCCCTGGCCGGTCCGTGTTTGACCCACCCTGTGATCTGCCTTCTACATTCTGTGCTCCAGGGCCCTGGAGTGTCGCTGTGGCCCATCTTGCATCCTGGCACCTTGACAGCACTCACCTGAGAGTTCTCATTACTCTGCTCGAGTGCCCCATGTTTCCTCTCAACAGATCTGGGCATGGCGGAGCGGGAGCATAGCTCTGTTAGTACCAGCAGCACTTCCACCCTCCCTCTCTTCTTTCCTCAAGAAGGAAAATCCAAAAAGAACAGTTGTGACATGGGCAGAATGACACTGGTCTTTCCAATAGAACAACCTCAGACTTCCCCGACTGAGGCCAGTCCGGTCCCCTTCTACATTCTTGCACCTGGGCTGGGAGCAGGGCTCACAGGCAGCAGAGATGGAGGGACGGCTGTTCTGCCCAACTAACCTCAAAGCTCATCTCTGCAGTCAGAACTAAACCTCCCCATCACGCTTCTACATAGACCACGTCCCCGTCTGCAACCCAGGCATCTCGTTGCTCCTTTTCTGTCTTCTTGTCTTCTGCAAGGTCGTCACTAGTGTTGCTTTCAACACCTGATTTTACCTGGTGGGAGAAGGTGGCAGCCAGCATTGTTGAATGATTTGGCCCAGGCTTCTTCTATCTTATCCTCTGTGCTGCAACACCCCAGCAAGTGATAACATTGTTGCAAGCTTCCTCTAAAGCATAGGCAGTAAGTGCAGCTGCACCAAGGCCCACCTCAGTGGTGCAGTGGGAGGTGCAGTGATAGCACAGAGCTCTGCAATGCTGGAAGCCATATGGAAGGTGAGGGTTTGGTTCCCTGGTCACACTGTACACACATGCACACATGTGCATGTCCGCGATGCTAAGGGACTGGAAAATGTTGGAGAGGGGTCATTGTATGTGATCCTGTTATGGTTATTTCTCTCTCTCTCTCATGAATGGAAGGAAGGGAGGGAAGAAGAAAAGAAGGAAGGAAAGAAGGGAAGGAAGGATTTTTTTTTTAAAAAAAAAGGAAAGGAAAGAAAGGGTCAGCATTAAACAGAGCAGAGTTAGTCCCAAGAACAAAGCTAATGGTTACCTTTCCCACGCTGACCAATAGGAACCACTAATGGCTGACTTCAGTACCCCAAACTCTGTCCTGAACAGGAACTTGGAGCTCAACTGCTCTGGTTCCTTATGCACCTGCAGCTGGTGCTGGGCTGATGGGATTCTAGGAAGGGGGCAGAAAGGGCTTCCAGGGAGGTCATGGGAATTGAAACTGGGTGTGAGTAAATACTGGCAAGTCCACCAGAAGAGGGAGACATGGAAGCAAGTGTTGTTCACCAACCAAGTGCCGTTTCC